AATGGGGAGCTAAATAAATGAGTACAGGAAAGAAAATGTTCTAAAATTATCATGATGATTGTCCACCTCTTCCTGATATGATTGAACTATTGAATTGTATGATGTGTGGATGAAGTGCTAATAAGACTGTTTTAAAATAAAGAGCTCTGTTACAAATTTGTCCTCTGCTCGGTGTTGTTTGATTTCATGACTACTGTTTCTATGGACTTTGATTATGGATACAAGTCAAATAAAATGTTGACGACTTCAATTTTTTCTGTTTATCCTGATGTTGCTTATTGGTCCACTTCTGAGGATTTCCGTATCTTTATGCACAGTTTTAATTCATACTGAAGACTGTCTTTGGTTTTCAAGTCCTGTTTGTTTTCTGCAAGCAAGATGGTATCATTTGCGTATCATTTGCATTGTTAATGAGGCGGGCTCCAATCTTGATGCTGTGTTCTTCATATAGTCCAGCTTATTGGATTACATGCATACAGAACTTCAGCATTCAGATTGAACAAATGTGAAAGGCTACAACTCTGACACACATATTGTCTGGTCTTAATGCACACCGCAGCCCCTTGTTCTAGTCAAACAAGCCTGAGCCCAGTGAAGTACGCTGAAATTCCTATTATTTGCAATATTATCCACGATTTCTTTTTATCCATGATTTTTTATGATTCACATAGTCAAGTATTTTTTCAAATCAATACAGCACAGGTAAAATTCTGTCTGGTATTATCTGCTTTCAGCCTAGATCCATCTGACACTCGCAATGCTATTTCTCATTCTATGTCCTCCTTGGAATGCAGCTTGAATCGTTGCCAGTTGCCTGACAATGTCCTGCTAAAACCATTTTTGAATTATCATCTAAGTCTTAGCTGTGTGTGATATTAATAGGGTTGTTTTGATAATTTCCGCATTCTGTTAGGTCACCTTTCTTTGGTAAAATGGCAAACGTATGGACTTGTCCCTGTGTGTTGACCAGGGAGCTGTCCTCTAAATTTCCTGGCGTGGACAGCGAGCACTTCCAGTGTGGCACCAGCTTGCTGCAACATTTCAGTTGGTATTCCATCAATCCCTGGATCCTTTTGTTCACCAACACTTCTAGTTCAGTGTGGACATCTTTCTGCAATACCATTGGTTCTTGATCACATGCCACCTTCTGAAATGGTTGAACACCAATCAATTCTTTGGGGGACAGTGATTCTGTACCAAATTCCTTCTGTCTTCTTTTTTTTAAAAAATTTTTAAAAATTATTTACTTATTATTTATTTATTTATTTATTTATTTATTTATTTATTTATTGTTCCCTTCTGTCTTCTTTTGATGCTTTCTACATCCTTCAATATTTTGCCTGTAAAATTCTTCAGTATCACAGCTTGAAGCTTGAATTTTTTTTCCCAGTTCTTTAAGCTTGAGAAACACTGCATGGGTTCTCTTTGGGCTTTCTGACTCCAGAGATTTGGACATTTCTTTAGAGTACGTTTCTTTGTCTTCTTGAACTGCCCTTTCAAGCACGCCTCTTTTACTTCATCCTGGCTTCCATTCACCTTTGCTGTTCTGTGCTCAAGGATAAGTTTCAGAGTTTCTTCACACATCCATTTTTCTCTATTCTTTCTTTCCTGTCTTTTTAAATGAACATTTGCTTTCTTCATATACAAGGGGGTACCCCCCCAAAAAAAATCAGAAAAAAGCTCCATGAGGCAGAACTTTTGTTTGGCTAGGCAAGCATCAAGCAACTCACTCTGAGTTAGTGCACCCAGTGGGAAGGTTCTCTCTGGTTATGGTGAATTTTTTCTTAAAAGCAATTTCCCTCAAACCTTGTTTTTTTGTGATGGCTGGTTTAAGAGAACAGAACGTGGCTGTGAATTTTTTTTTTCTGCTCAGGAAAAATGCCACCAAAGCTGTTGTGATGTTGAACACTGCTTACAAGGACAGCATTCTGGGAAAAAGTCAAGTGTATGATATGAGGGTGTTCTTGGTTCAAAAAAGGTGAAATGTCGATTGATAACTAAACACATTTTGGACATCTGTCAATTTCCTGAACAGACAAAAATGTTGGCTCAGTGCATTTTCAGTTGGTTCCACCAGGTCAGATTATTAATCAAGTTTTCGGTTTAGAGGGTCTGAAAAGATAGCGTAACAGTGTGTGACAAAAATAGCCTGACTTGTGGCAGACAGGGCACTGGTTTTGCCATGATAAAGAACCTGCTTATGCAACCATCTCAGTGTGCCAGTTTTGGGCAAAAAACAGCATACCTCTCTTGCCCCATGCATTTTACTCACCTGACTTTGATCCATATGACTTCTTTTTGTTTCCACGAATGCAGAGGGACGTGAAAGGACAGTGATCTGATGATGTAGAAGAGGTGAAGAAAAAAAAACGTGGGAAGTGCTGTCAGTCATGCAAAGAGATGAGTTGAAGAATGTAATTGCAGATTTGACCAGTGTATTAAGTGTAATGGAGAGTACTTTGAAGGTGATTAGGTTATTTCATAAAAAACTGTAAGTACATAGCTTTGAAAAAAAATTCCAAGTCTTTTTTTGGGTGGGTGGGTGGGGTATCCCCTCGTATGACGTCTTGATATCCTCCCACAACTTGTCTGGCTTTTCAGGCATGAATATTCAATTCACATCTCTTCTTGAGGTGGACTCTAAGTATAGTGGAGATTTACTCACCGCCCTATGGTAGCTTCCTTGGAATGGTTTTAATTCTCTTCAATTAGATTTTCTTAAGAACAATGGCTGTTGACTAATTCCTCAATCAGCCACTGCTTTTTGTCTAACTATGATACTTAGCTTCTCCATGGTCTCTTCCCACAGATGTAGTCAATTTGATTCCTGTGTATTCCATCTGGCAAAGCCCACGTGTATAACCACTGTTTATGCTGTTAAAAATTGGCATTCCCAATGCAAAATGCCACCACTGTATGGGGGTAGCCTGCATGTTCTTGGGATGCTGGAAAATAAGCCAGCGATACTTTGAATACCAGCAGAGTCACCCATGGTGGCCAGGTGTCAGTGGAGCTTCTAGATGAAGACAGACTAGGACGAAGGACCTGGCAGCTTCCACCTGAGCCGGGCTGGTGAGAGCCTTGTGGTCGCAAGGGGACACTGTCTGATACAATGCTGCACATGTCGCCTGTCAGATTGGAAGGCAATCCAAATAAGGCTGGGATGAACTGCTTCCTCAGAGAAGCGTTAACTATAATGAGATAAGTGGAGGAACATCCATTTGCTAATGGGGCACATTTCAGAATGAAAAGAGACGGCGGCAAACATTCATTAGGAGTCAGCACATGGACTCTTCAAAGTATGAATCAAGAAACAATTGGAAGTTGTCATAAACGAAATAGGATGCTTGAAGATTGATATCTCAGGCATACTTACATTAACTGGACCGGTATTGACCATTTTGAATTGGACAACTATCTAGGGTCTGGTGCTGGGGAAGGATATGGAAGACAATATCCACGGTCAGAGTGTTCTTTGGTGGCAAGGATGGCGAGGCTTCGTCTCACATAGCTTGGACATGTTGTCAGGAGAGACCAGTCCCTGGAGAGGGACGTCGTGTTTGGTGAAGTAGAGGGCCAGCGAAGGAAAGAAAGGCCCTCAAGGAGATGGATTGACACAGTGCCTGCAAGAAGGGCACAGCACAGGAACAATGGTGAGGATCGGGCAGGACTGGGCAGTGTTTTGTTCTGTTTGGGACAGGATGCTATGAGTTGGGGCCAACTCAGCAGCACTTAATAACAACAGCAATCCCTAGTGGCTGGTCATCTGGTAGATAAACAGTGCTTCCTGTAGAGGTTTGGTCCTAAGTTCACGCTGTGTTTTTATTTTTAAGTCAGTGGCTCCTTTGCTCATGAAATTCTCCCACAATCTTGAAAGAGCTGGAAGACAGTGAGATGGTGCCCTGTGTACTGGTTGCCCTTATGTGGCTGGAGATAGCGGGGTCCTTCCTCTTCCTCATTGGTAGGAGAACGGGGGTGATTGGGACACAAAGACCTTGTTGTCCACTTACAGTCAGTTCCAAGGAAGAAGCGAGAAACCCCCACTTTTTCTCAGGTCCTCAGCTGATCTGGAAGGCCACACACTCTTCCTCTGCTCCAGGCAGCCGATTGGGTACAGCGTCCGTGAGTCTTTACCCCCAGTGTGATGTCCACTGCGTCTTCGTATGCAAGTGGCCTTGGACACTAAAATCAAGCGCAAGCTCGAATCAATCACTGGTCCACCTTCACCATTGTACAGCTGCTATTGTAAAGTGCCAACGAAATCACGTAAACTTGACAGTGGTCACCAGCTCAATGGAATGTTCAACGCATTATGTCATCAGTGGACAGGAAGCAAATAGCCACATGCCCCTTTCTCGTGGGTGAAAATGGGTCCTTGACAGAGTGTAAGTGGGGGAAAGATTCAGGAACATTTTAAGGGGAAAAGTATTCATAACTATAACCTTTCAAATCGAACCATGCAAAACAGACATGTTTTTTAAAGCAGTTATGCGTGATGGTGTTGTTAGTTGGCGTTGAGCTGAGTCCAATGATGGTAGCCCCGAGCGTACGTGCAGAGCCCTGCCCGGGGGTTCAAGCCTAGAAGCAAACGGCCAGGCTGTCTTTAGAAGCACTTCTGGGTCGGTCTGAAGTGCCAGCATCTCCAGGAACAGCGGAACTCTAAGCCATTTACTCCACGCAGACAGACCCCTGTGATGATGTCAGAGAGGAATTTGTAAACCAATAAGGAAACAAAGTCAGTGTAAGACATGAAAAAAAACCCAAACCACTTATCAATTATCAAGGGTTCATGAGGGAGGGTGGGGGAAGGAGGGGAAGAAATGAGAAGCTGATACCAAGGGCTCAAGTAGAAAAGAAATGTTTTGAAAATGATGATGGCGACAAATGTATAAATGTGCGTGACACAATGGATGTATGTATGTGATCAGAGTTGTGTACTCGACATCCCAGCCGGAGCAGCAACAGGCCCTTGGGCTCTTAACCCCTTCCTCGCCGCAACCATGTCCAACAACATGGCCACGATCGCCGAATCCCGAAAGGCAGTGGAACAGTTGAAGATGGAGGTGCACCTCGACCGCATGAAGGTGTCGCAGGTGGCAGCTGAACTCCTGGCCAAAGATGACCCGCTGGTAACGTCAGTGCCCGCTGCTGAGAACCCTTTCTGCGACAAGGGCCTGTTTTGCGTCCTGTTCTGAGCCTTCTTGGAAACTTACTCCCACCCCAAGTCTGAATCCAATAAATGTGATGATTGTGGAAAAAAAAAAAAAAAGAGTCGTGTACTTGAGGGCCTTCCAAGAGCAGATACGGGGAATACAATGCTTCCAAGGGGATCTGCGGGATCAGTCACGATCAAGGCAGAGAGTTTGCCTCGGAAAGCAGGGTGGACTCTTTTGGGGGGTTCTGAAGGGGTAATCTTGATAGAATTTCTTGAAGAACACAGGATGGTATCTAAAGAAACTTAAAAATTGCATTGGTTGAGAAAAGTGTGTCCAGGATTCTACCACCACCCTCCCCCATCACCCAATGTCTGCTCAGCCTTACAGGTTAGCAAGGGCGGTCCTATGAGAATTTCACTGAAGACACTTAACTCCCGCCACCCTCCATCCCTGATGGGGTGACTCCAAACTTCCTTTGGGTGCCCAAACTCAAAGGACATTGGAAATAAATATGATTTGAGTCTCCCGAGGACGCCAAAACTATCCTGCTGTAAGTCCACAGGACAGAGCGCTTCAGGGCAGGGCTAGAGGGAGAAGAGCAGACGCATGTCGATTAGGTGAAGGGTTTGTCAAAACACAATGGCTTCATATTTTGGTCTTGAGCGAGGGTTTACAGCTTAGGTTATCAGCTTCACATTAGGCAATTCATACACATTTTGTTTATGACATTCACAGCAAGCCCCACCATGTAACATCTCGTATCCTACTTCCTCCCGGAGCTTCCTGTTTCCACTGCTTTCTTTCCAAACCCTTCTGAAAGGCATCCGTGAGGGAATGCTGCCCTTTTGCTCTCAGATGGTTGATTGTTCTAAGGTGTGCACACCTCAAAAGTGTTATTGTTCTCCTAAGAGACCAGTCTATTGTTTGGTGAAAATTGAGCCACGTATGTGGGTTCATTTCAGACCTGAAGGGAGACTAGGGGTGGAGTGGTGTTTCTGACCAGTAAGCATGGTCTCATTGATGATTTCATTCATTTCATTTTTTTATGAGCTCTTTGAAGCCTCCATGTATTCATTCCGTTTCAAAGAGATATACACTGCGTATTGTAACTGTGCTCAGATTGCAGGTGGCCGGCAGCGATGTGTACGTGGAGAGTTGCCTTTTATGTTGAAGGCCTGGTTCTGATTCTGGACAGGCCTCACGGCTGTCACCACCAGTTTGTTAGTGGAGGCTTATGTGGTGCAATGACACAGAACAGGTTTCAGCAGAGCAAGACAGACTAGAAAGAAAAGCCTGGTGATCTACTTTAGAAATCAGACATGAAAACTCTGTGGATCCTAATGGTGTGATCTAGAATTGATCGCGTGCATGAACAGTTGGGTTATGCACACCATGCACATAGTCCATTAGAGGGTGTGTTTTGTTCTCCTGTGTGTGGCAGTTCCATGAGCCAGGGGCCACTCACCGGCAGCTAACATATCTCAACAAGCTATGAAAAGTGATCACAGAATTTCAAATTTTCTAAGAGGTGCTTAATTCAAGGTATAAACCCAAATCACTGTTATCAAGTTGATTGTGACCCACAGCAACCCCAATATGACAGAATAGAACTTGTTTTTTAGGATTTCTGAGGCTATAACTCTTTCCAGGAGTAAACAGCCTTCTTTTTCTCCTAGAAGAGACTATTGGGTTTGAACCGCCAACCTTGCCGTTAGCAAGTTAGCAGCCCAAAGCTGATCCCACTAGGTAAAGAGGGCTCCTCGTTTAAGGTATGGATCCCAGGGAAAGGAATGATGTCAGTGAACGACTGAGCAGGGGTTCAGTGTGAAGGACGTACTGCTTAATGATGTGTGGTTGTAATTGGGTGCCATCCAATCGAAGAGATATTTTGTGATTCCTAAAACTTAGGAGATAAATCATCATAAGGATGATGGCAACTGTGTTAAGCATGAACAGAAAAGAAAGTGACAAAGGGTCGTCTAGGGAATGTTTCGGAAGCGGGGAGGCTGTGGTGAGGCAGGGGCAGAGAACACCGGGAGGGCGTTGTCCAGGGCTTGGCAAGGCAGCGAACCAGAGCCCTGTCTCCCAAAACAGCAGGGGAAAGCCAGAGCCATCAGCTTCGGTCCTTTTTCCACTGGCAAGGTTTCTTCAAATAAGGCTGCTCAAAGCTCACTTGGGTCAGAGTGAGTTGCTGCACCAACACCCTCTACTGGACTCCCTGGCCAAGGGGAACTAACTTCATTCAAACGTCAGGCATAAAGGCATTATATATAAACTCGGCATCCGCGACCGAAGTTCTGGTCTAGCCCAACAATCCACAAACGAGTGCAAGCTCCGGGGGAGGAGTGGCAGAGGCAAGTGAGGTGAAGCTCTGGAGCAAGAGGTATCCAGCTCAGAGTTCCCCATTGCGTCCTGACGCGCTTTCCCACCCTCCTGCCCAGGATGTCCCTGGGAGGTGCAAGCAGAGAGCATGCGTGGCTGCTCATCGAGAGGCCAGAGGTTCGAGTCCACCTCCAGGCTCCTTGGAAGAAAACGCTGGCAAGCCCCTTCTGGAAAACCAGCCCGATGGAAACCGAGGGATGGTGGATATAAGCAATGGGTCTGAACTGTTCGCTTAGACATTGTGAAAGGCTGCGTATGCGGTTGTCTATGTTGCCACCAAAACTAAATTGTAAAAGCGCATTTTTAAAATGGCAAGATGGAAAACCTTTTGGAGCTCAGTCCTATGCTGACGGACGTGGGGTCCCACAGGGTAACTGCGGAGGGAGCCAGAGGAGGTACTGTTTTTCCTTTGCGAGGCTCTCGGACAGGGGGGCCCTCCTAGTGTCGTGGTTACGCGTTGGGCTGCGGTCAGCATTTCGAAACCACCAGCCGCTCCCCAGGAGAAAGGTGGGCCTTTCTATGCCTGTGAAGAGTGACAGTCTCGGAGCCCACCGGGGCAGTTCTCCCCGGTCCTCCAGGGTCGCTGCGAGGCTGCGTCGGCTCCATGGCAGTGAGTGTGGTTTGGTGTCCGACGCATTGTGAGAACAGCGGTTCGTAAGGACCTGAAATCGCGTCTCTCCTTTTCTTGCTTCAGCTTGTGCTGCTGGGGTTCTTAGCGGCTTTACTCTTTGGACGGACTCCGACCTCAGACCCCCTTCTGCAGATCCCCACTCCCGGCACGAGGGAAGGTGGGAGGCCGCGGGCTGCGACAGGAGCCATCGAGGTGGCTGGGTGGAATTCCCCGGGAAGGGCAGGATGGTCACTTGTCCTTCCTCTCGCTGCCCTCCAGCAAGTCCCCTAAGTGGGGACACTTCAAGTCAGGCGCTGGCCAAAGCTTTCAACTCGAGAGCTTCCAGGAAAGGGAATGTTAATTTTGTTGACAAATTTCAGAGTCCTGAAGCCCCCAGGTCTTAATTCTTTGAGCAAACTCTCAGGCCTGAGTTTGCATGTCCCTAATTAGTCTTGTCATGAGCTTCCCTGCCATTGTTTTAAACACACCCCACGGCCAGTGAGCTGCAGGGCCCCTTTGCGGTGAGTGGGGCAGTATTTGTATATATTTTTAAATGGCCATCGCCCCTTGCCTGGAGGCTGCCATCATTTTTCAGTGGTCGGGTTGCCATAGAGATGTTGTCTGATCCATCTCTATTGCTATCCCCCCACCCGCCCCTCCCGTAAAAGGGACCCTGAATAGGCGCTGAGGTAGGTAAATGTATGCAGTGACATTGAGCGGATGATTCTATTCTGGAAAATTCCTGCACCATTTGTTTCTGTGCTTGTCTGAGGGCCGGGACCCGGTGTCAGGCTTTGTTGCACTTGCTCCCCTCGCGGGCCCGGAGTTAATGGAGCCTTGTTTGCAGTCAGTGGAGCAGAAATTTCTCGGCTGCCACGGACAAAAGCTTCACAGGCCACCTCGGAGGCTGCTTTGGGAAGGCAGTGTCTCCGGGGCTCCCAAAGGAAGTTGGGGGATCACGGGGAACACAGAGGGGCGCCCTTGGGTTCTTGCCTGCCCCGCTGGACAGCTCCCTGACTCGCTGGCCCCACGGAGGCGCCGCAGAAGAGCAGGGCGTCTCCAATGGCGGCCCCTAATTAGATTTGCCTTTTCCCAGCCTGCGGAGGGAGACCATCCTGAGGGTGTGTGCTTCTCTGTCTGTGGTCACAAGTGTGTGCTTGTGCAGCTCTCTCTGCTCCTGTTCCATTTGGTGCTCGGAGTTGGAAAACCAGGAGTCATTGCATTGGTCTGCACCTTTTTGAATGACACCCAGGTCCTCTTCCCACTCGGAGAAAAAGAGGGGTAAGGGAGGGAGGGAGCGAAGAGAAGGACGAGGAGAGGAAGGGTTGTGTTCTAGGGGCCCTGGTTGCGTTCTAGGACCATGTTTGGACTTGGCAACTCGCAATAAACGATTCTCTTTTCCTCCAGGGAGAGGATGGGTGAGCACTTAGAAGCAGCACCCTGCTAGGAGTTTCCAGAAACCACATCGTCATTTTCCTCTCGCATCCCTGTGCCACAGCAGTTGTTAAATGGGTTACATGACTTGGCCAGAGCCACACGGAAGATGAATGATGTCACTTAGACTGATTTGGGACTCACTGATCCCAAGTTCAGTACCCTCCTCCCCGCATCAATGTGGTCAGGGCTGTGCCAACCAGCCAGCTCTCTCACAGCAAGCAAGAGGGTAGCCTGGGTACCACCATCTCCTCCTACTGTCGGCCCTGACCCTTGACCCAGCTCTTTGGCCACAGCCTGATGCTGCCATGAGTTGTGGGGGGAGGACGGGAGAGTGCGTGTTGCAGGTCCACACTGGCTTTGTGTAGAGGTGCTTCTGGCCCTCAGATGCTTGCTTTTCTGCGAAGTTGCTCCTTGTGTGGACGTTGACAGATGGGTGGGGGTGGGGTGGGGGGTCCTGGGTGGCCTTGCCTCAGCCTAGCAGAGTTGGGGGAGGGGGGTGTTTAGGGACCCAGAACTCCAGCATTCATCTGTTTGTCCCTTCACTCATTAACTCACATGTTCAGGTGCTCAGTATGCACTCTGGCTCCCTGCGCTAAGTGCAGGGCAAAGG